CACCTCGGTGGCGTCGTCCAGCGCGGCACCCACCTTCCGCTGCGCCTGCTCCCAGAGATGTTATCTCGAGCGAGGCGCGGGCTGCCCAGGTCGCGCGCGTGCTCGACCGGCCGGGCACGCGCTGCCTTCTTGTGCTTGGCCTGCAGATCGCGCCCCGGCGAAGTCGAGGACGCTAGGCATCGCGACAATTGCATACGAGCCCATTCACAAGGACCCCAGCTTCCCCCCCCCCCCCGCGCCGCCGAAGCACCATGCCATGCCATCGACTGCAATGGCTGGGGAAGCCGTCGAGCACGCCTGAACCACTCGATCAAGAGATCCCGACAAGTAAAACTTCATGAACGTGGTCTTCGAGTGAGCCGCCTGCAAAATTGCCCGGCGCACGGCTGCTACATGATGACTGCGCCATCAAGTGCCAGCGCGCCGGCCCCGTTGCAAGTACCAGCCAGCACCTCGAGCAACAATGGCGGACATCTCAGCTTGCGCGGGGCGCCGATATATACGCCGCCACCAGGCGGCCATAGGAAAGGGACACATCCTGCGCGCGACCGCCCAGACAGGGGCGCCGCTGCCTGCCCCCGCCAAGTGCAAGCACTTGCCGCGTGGTCGTGCGACCAGATGTCGGCCGCATTCGGTCGCGAATGAATCTCCCAAGCACCGCGCGGCAGCGCGGCGGCGGCGCGCGGCAACGACGGACCCCCCCCCGGGAATTCTAGACGCCACCCCGAAATATACACCACGTGAATGTTTAAATCTTGTGGCATTCAACCGCATGCCCAAATTACGCTGCACGCGCGACATGTTGCCGCCGCGAAATTTGACGCGCCCTGCGACCCACCGCCAAAACATTAATCCGATCGACCCCCACGACAGAAAAACAGCCCGCGGCGGTGACGCGCGCGCGTGGATCCCGGAACTTGCGCGCGGGCCACAAGAGATAATTGCGATGGATATGTTCGATCGCTTTCCACGGACCCAACCGCCGGAAACCGCGCCCCTGGTGACCCCGGGGATCGTCGGGCTGCTCCATTGCCGCCCCTTCACCCCATGCCTGCTGATGCAAGACTGCTCGATCGCAGCTTTAGCCTGCTGATGCCCGCCAGCATGCGCGGCTGCGAACCTCTTGCCACATGATTGCGATGGGGCGCCCGGGGCGCCCGTGGAATCCCGCGAAAGCCGTGGGCCAAAAAATTGGCAGGACCCCTCCGTGTCTCTTGGGAATGGAAGCCCGCTGGTCAATGGGGACAGGCCACGCGCGCCGCTCTGCAGTGAGTGCCAGAAGATCAGCTGGAGGCCCCCACCCAAGCATCGCCCAGCGCTACGAAGCAACTTCCTCCGATAATTTTGAGGGTGCACAGGCTGCTCTGGGCTGAACAGCGGTGGGTCGTTCTGGTCGCTGGTCGATGTCGGCGGATCAATCCACTGCTGGCGGCGCTGCGCTGGTCCTCCAGCGCCCGCTTCGTTGCGCGGCCCAGGCGTTCGCCGCGCCCATCTCACCCGTGAGCGCCCCTCCCATACCAGACGCGGTGGCGGCGTTCAATTCTGCGGCGGCCGCGCGACGAGCGGAGTGGCCTTGGCCAGCTTGGACATTGACCCAATCTCCGTCCGAGCCGAGATTCCTGGACGTCGCGCGGGGCGGCGCCCTCGGCGATCTGCCTCGCGCTGCAAGACAGGCGCGCCATGCCCGCGTCGCTCGCGCAGTTCCACGCGCAGCTGCGGAGCAGACTGACCACGCGACAAATTGCTGAGGCAGGGGGCAAACTCTGCCGTCGATCCGTAGCGCGCTGCTTTCGCTCTCAACGAATAAGGTGGTCAGCCGCAGCCCGGGCCGCGCCCTCCAACCGCATGGGCTGCTTGCTGATCGCGGGCGTGCGCGGCGCAGCTGGCGGGCCAGCGCGGGCCCGCCCCAGCGCTGGCGCCCGCGCTCGGCTCCGCCGCGCTGGTCAGCGCCATGCCCTGAGAGGCCACGTAAATGAGACTCTGCGGCCCCGCTGGAAATCTCTCGCGACGCTCCGCTGAAACATCGGGCCCCAGCTCGTCCTGCAGGCGGCCTCAGTCGGCGGCGAAATCGCGCGCGATGCGCCCCGACGGGAAAGGTGGCAGGGAAGGCCTTCGGCACCCGCGCGATCTCGACGAGGTTGTCAACTTGCGCGCCGCCGACGGCGGGGCGCGCGGGTCGGCGGGGCCCGAGCCCCCAATCATGCAAGACCTCTGCTGCTGCAACTTTGAAACGGTTTGACATGTCGGAGAAATCGTTCGCAGTCTGCGCCGGCCGACACGCGCCGCCACCTGGGGCAGCACGCTGGCTGAGAAACGATGAATGCTCGAGGGCTCGAGGACGTGGGGCTCCACATTGAAGTCACCACTGGTGATGGAAAGGCCGCCCGAGCACCTAGGGCATGCTGGCCACCCGCTGCAGAAGGGACACACTATGCGCCAAAACCCTCATACCCGCATGCAGGCACATGTTGACCAACGAGCAAGATTCCCCCAGTGCAAAGCCAGCGTGACACGCGAACACAGCCCGCCCGTCGACGAGGACCGAGCTGCCAGCACCGTCGAACTGCCCCGTCCCTGCACGGGGCGCATACTGCAGCACACCGCTATGCCCAGGTCGCCCTTGTGCTGCATTAGCTGCCAGGAATAGATTGGCATGCCACCCCGTCTTGGCAAGTTCGAGTGCCACCTCACGACTGCAATCGATGGTGAAATTCGTCCCTTGCACCGCAGGAATCGGGACGCCGAAACGCGTCGCGAAGAAAACCGTGATGCGCATGCGCATTCATTGCGGGAGCTAGTCATGTGCGACATCTGGCAGTTGGGCTAGGAACTCGTCTTCCCCCGCGCGGCCCATTCGCGGAGCAACTCGAAGGCCTCGCGGGACCGCTGTGTGATCTCATGCTTGGAAGTTCCTGCCAGCAACCCTCCTGGTTCTTCAACCATCAAACGGTCAAACAAAATATCTGCGCCATCAGCATCTGCGGGCGCGGCCGCGCCCGTATTCCGAATGGCTCCACATGCTGGAGCATGCCGGGTTTGAGCCGCTGAGGATGCCGCAGGGGCAAGGGCTACCTTCCCCGCGTCCGACACCAAGTTTTGCAAAACATGAGACGCCTCTCCGAAAAGCCTTTTTCTGGAGTGCTCGCGCCACTGATCGCGGTCAGGGCCTCTCGGACTCGTCGAGCAAAGGGGCGAAGTCGGTTGGCTGGAGCGTTGTGGATGCACCCCGTGCTTGGGCTGCTGCCTCCTCAGGTTTCACCAAGTCTGCTTCCAATGCCGTGACCATTGCGTGCTGCACTTGCGAGTAGGCACGGGCTTTGTTGGCTGCATCTTTGGCCTTCTGGAGGCGGTGCTGTCCCGCCAGGGGTGCCTCGGCTGCCTTCTCCACAAAATTCGACTTAGCAGCACCTGGGTCGCACCCTGCAGAAACCACTGTGCGCGCATATTGCGCACGATGGCGGCTGGACTGAGTCAGGGCCCCCTTTAACCGTATCCCAGACTGCGGGCTTGACATCCACATAAGATCGGACAGCATCATTAACCAGTGTGGCACCAAGAGAAACACGATAACGAGGAGCCTTGGGGTCCGTGTGCCCATTTGCCTCCAGGCCGCTGCTGATGCCAAGGCCTGGGCTCGGGTCCAGCTCCTGGACGATACCCGCTGCACTCTGCCCGGGGGGAACTTGTACTGACTGGTCGGAATGAATCGCGGAAACAAGGGTCAATTCCAATGATCACCACCACTCACCAATGATTCGTAGGTTACACAGGGGTGCAGAGCCACTTCCGCCGCTACAGCAATGCACTGCTCTAAAATATGATGTGCGCGTGTGCATGTATGCTTGTACGTGTTCGTGTATGTGTATGTGTATGCGCCTGTGTGCGTGCACGCGTATGTGTGTATGTGTATATGTATATGTGTATGTGTATGTGTATGTGTATGTGTATGTGTACTTGTATGTGTACGAGTGTGTGTGTGTGTGTGTATGTGTGTGTGTGCCTGTGTCTGTGTCTGTGTCTGTGTGTGTCAGTGTCTGTATTAGTGTGTGCGCTGTGTGTGCGCCTACCCGTGCGCGTGCGCGTGCGCGTGTGTGTGTGTGTATGTGTGAGCGTGTGCATGTGTGCGTGTGTATTTGCTTGTTTGTTTGTTTGTTTGTGTGTCTGCGTGCGTGCGTGCGAGCGTGCGTGCGTGCGTGCGCGTGCGTGGGTGTGGGTGTGGGTGTGGGTGTGGCTGTGGGTGTGGGTGTGGGTGTGGGTGTGGGTGTGGGTGTGGGTGTGCATGTGCGTGTGCGTGTGCGTGTGCATGTGCGTGTGCGTGTGCGTGTGCGTGTGCGTGTGCGTGTGCGTGTGCGTGTGCGTGCGTGTGCGTGTGCGTGAGTGCGTGTGCGTGTGCGTGTGCGTGTGCGTGCGTGCGTGTGTGTGTGTGCGTGTGTGTGCGTGTCTCCCTCCCCCGTGCATCCCGCCTACGCCTCATCGCCAGCGCAGCGACTCTGCCTAGCCGCCGACGTAAAAAGTGTGTGCGTGCGCGTGTGTATGTGTGTGCGTTCGTGTGTGCGTCTAGTCTGTGCTCTCCTTGCTCCTCGCTATCCACGCCCAAATGGGTATGTGCTGCTCCCCCGCTGAACCAGCCCGGGCGCGCTGCGGCTTAGGTCTCGGCCGCTGTGCTTGACCTTCTCCGCCTCGTCGCTGCCTGCGAGGCCGCGACCGCCTAAGAAGTGTGCGTGCATGAGCGCGCGCCTCTTTAGAAGAGCAAGCAACAACATAAACACAAACTGTCGGAGCTCCGCGCGGATTTCATGGATCCGCGCTGGCCCCCCGTCGCTGGCGCGCGGAGCGCGCCAGCGGCGGCGCCGGAGGCGCCGCCAGGGAGCCCCAGCGAAGATCCAAGAAATCCGCGCGGACCTCCGAAAGTTTATGTTTATGCCGCTGTTCGTTCTTCGACTCTCGCCGCCCGCCCCCGCCCCCGCCCTCGCGCCATCGCCGGCCGCCGCCCCTCTCGCCTGCCGCCGCGCCCAGCATGCCCACCGCCCTCAGGAAGACCGCGTGCGTGGAGGCCACCGGGCGCGTGGGCGACGCCGCCTCGCCAGGCGGGGCGGGAAGGCGCGGCGGGGGGGGCGCCCCTGCCCCCCCCTCCCCGCCCCCCTGGACGCCCCGCGCCCGGCTGCGGAGGGGGAGGGGCGACGGGGGTCACGGAGAGCACCAGGGGGGAGGGGGGGGGGACAAGCCAGGTGCGCCAGCGTCACATCTGACGTCCTACCCCTCCCTCCCATCCCTTACCATGGCGAAGATCTCAGATCTATTCGCACCGTCGGATGTCGAGGTGGGCAACGATCCCAAGAGGGTACGCGATGGATGGAATAGCATGGAGTAGAAGAGCATGGCAGAGTTTAGCATGTCATAGCATGGCGTGGCGTTGCGTGGTGAATCATTGCATCACAAAGCATAGCAACGCAAAGCATGGCATCGCACAGCGTTGCACAACACAGCATCGCATTGCATGCCGTGGCATGGCACCAGATGACTTAGAGGGTAAATGGCCCGTCTACGAGAGGACAAGGCCTGTCAAATGCCCGCTCCATGTCCCCCGCAACCGTGCCTGCCCGATGTGGACGCTTTCGAATGCCAAGTGCCATCCAGAGGCGCGGTAACGAGGCCAGCGCTGCAGCGGGAACACGATTTTGAAAGACCGATGATCGGAAATGAGGGCGGCGCTGCAGCGGGAGCACCACATTGGAAGAACCAGGCAAGACCTAATTGACAAAACACTTTGGAAAAAGAGAAATACTGAAATCCTGTGTAAAAAACAATACACGAAGAGGACGGGAGACTCTCTGGACAGCAGGGGAGAGAGGAGAGTAGTATTCATATTCTGTAATTGTAGAGGGCTGGGGGGAGGGCGGAGGGGTCAAGCTATGCGAGCTGGCGTCACATCTGACGTCCTGCCCCTCCCTCTCATCCTTTGCCATGTCGTAATGCCCTCTGTGTTCGCACAATCGAACGTCGAAGAGGACACGGATCCTGACAGGGCACGCGATGCATAGCGTAGCACAGCACGGTATAGCATGTTTGCTCCATGAACTAGCACGTAGAGGAAGCCCATTCCATGCCTGCTACGTCTCACGCGCAGTAAGGCGCAGCGCACAACACGCCTATAGAAAAGCACACTCACAGCGCAACGCACAACGAAATTAGCCCGGCAATGACTGTCATAGGTGGCTGTCGGGACCCAGCGCGTTCCAGAGAAGGCTTTTCGGAACGCGCTGGGAGCAGAAAGTACCCTGCTGCAGAAGCACGACAGAGCGTAGCATGAAATGTCAGGGCGTGGCATTGTGTAGCGAAGCAATGCATATCCTCGCATTGCGGCGCCAGACATGGCACCGCATAGCAACACGCAACATGGCAGTACAATGCATGCAATGGCCTGGTATGGCACCGAGTATATTGGAGGGTACGTGGCCGGTCTTGGAGAGCACTGGGCTGGTCTGGAGAGGCCAGGGAGTTGAAAACGGACATAAACACACACACACACACACAACTCGTGCACATCGTGTGGGACAAAAACAATACGCGAACGCACAAGAAAGCACAGCTCGTGCACAGCATGCGCCAAAAACAGACGCGGAGGGGGAGCGAAAGCGTCGGAGTGGGAAGACACATACTAACAAAAACAACAATGATTGAAATCCTGCGTGTGAACAGATACGCGGAAGGGGGCGGGCAACTATTTACCACTTTCGGGGGGGGGAGGAGAGAAGTATATTCAGATTGTGCTATTGTGGGCGTAGGGGGGGAGGAGGGGCGAGGGGGGGTCAAGCTGGCCAGCTCGAACGCACGAGCATGGCATGCCCGTCCCCACTCGCCCTCACAGGAAACACTGTTGGCCCTGGAAGGCGTGAGCGGCGACCTGCCCAACGCAAGCACAAAGGCAGGAACGCCACCCTGACCACGGACCCCTCCCCTCCCCTCCCAGGGCCCTCACTCAGCAACTCTTGGAGCCGCGTTCGGCCGTGGCGACGAGGGGTGGTCACGAGGGTGAGAATGCGTGGACCCTCGATTCTCGAAGCTGGGGGTTTCAACCTCGTCGTGAACCCTTGGCAACTTTCGGGCCAGAAAGTCCGCCCTCTGGCGGCCGCGGCCGTTCGGGACGAATGCGGCACCCACGGGCCGGACCTTTTCGTCCCAGATCCGTTTCTGAGAAGCCCCGAGGGCTGGGAACGGGTCCCGACCCCCTGATCTGATGGTGAAGCCCGCGGAGTGGTCTCACACAGGGCGGCCCTCTTCTCCAAGAGACGCAGCTGATGTGGGTGAACCGCTCGAGCGGCAGCGCGTCTGGTGTACACTCCGATCGATAGCAAGGTGCTCCATGTGCACGGCGCCGAGGCTGTGGACTCGAGACTGTGGAAAGCGTAATGCAACGATGCCAATCAGGAGCTGCGAACTCCTGCCCTGACAACGTCGGCCCTGGATTCTGACACAGCGTGAAACGTTCGACCTTGAACGATCTCCGCTGCGCCCTCTGGACTTACCTGCCCCGATACGCAACACGCAACACGTAGCGTGCTGGCACGGAGCTCAACACGCAGACTGAACACGTAGGTCTGGCGCGATACGTTCGCCAAAACGTGGGTCAACACGTGCCGAGCCAACACGCAGACCCAGAGGCCCGAAAAGCTCAAACGACCTTAGCCGCCCCGAGACGCACCACGCAACCAGTAGCGGGTTGCCACGGAGCTCAATACGCAGCTTGAAAACGTACAACATGCCAATCGATAGCAAGGTGCTCCATGTGCGCGGCGCCGAGGCTGTGGACTCGAGACTGTGGAAAGCGTAATGCAACGATGCCAATCAGGAGCTGCGAACTCCTGCCCTGACGACGTCGGCCCTGGATTCTGACACAGCGTGAAACGTTCGACCTTGAATGATCTCCGCTGGCTGTGCCCCCTGGACTGACCTGCCCCGATACGCAACACGCAACACGCAACACGTAGCGTGTTGGCACGGAGCTCAACACGCAGACTGAACACGTAGGTCTGGCGCGATACGTTCGCCAAAAGGTGGGCCAACGTGCCGAGCCAATACGCAGCGTGTTGACACGGACGTTATGAGCACGGCTGTTGTGTTTCAACAAGGGCGTATCAGAGCAGCTCAGCGAACGACTTTTCCACAACCCCGAGCCCCGATCTTTGAGGATCGAGGCGGAAGCGCTCTTACCATCCATCGACCTGGGGAAACCAAATACAGTGGCACTGGCTGCGAGAGAAACTGTGGCTGTGCTGGTGTGCACTCGACTTTCCCGTCGTAGGGCTTAAGATCCCTTTCTCGCCTTGCTGGGGCGCACCATGCGGGGGGCTCGAAGCGGCAACACCTGCGCTCGCGCAGGTGGAAAAAACGCGAGGCCGAGAGGCTGGGCTGCTGCCGTCTCCGCGCGTATGTGCTCACGAGCTGGCTCGAGGCTGACGGAGGCGAGGAGGAAGAGGACGAAGAGAACTTCGACGACGTCAAGGAAGCGAAGCAGGGCAGATCTCGGTGCCTCCCGCGCCCGCGCAGCCGCCGCTGAGGCCTCGGAAGTAGGGCGCCGGAGGCGTGTGGGGTCCCCCAGAGAAGGGGTGCGCCAAAGAGGGGGGCCAGGAGGAGGGGGCGCGCAACATTAAGGGAACGAATAATGACTTACACATAAAAACTCGCAGGTCCGCGCGGATTTCTCGGATCGGCGCTGGACCCTCCTCCCTGGCACGTGGAGCGCGCCAAGGGCGGCGCCAGAAGCGCCACCAGGGGGGTCCAGCGCCGATCCGAGAGACCCGCGCGGACCTCCGAGTTTTTATGCTATGCTTCTATCATCTTTCGTTCCCCTAAACATGGCCCAAGGCATGTGCGCGGACAAGTGGGATTCGGGGGTGTGTTGAAAGAAAATGAAACTGAATAGTACGCATCGGATGGAGAAAACATAAGATTAGGTCGGGCATGTCCTCCTACAGGCCGCTGTTGGAGGAAATCTGAAAATTAGCCCAAAATAACCAATAATGGGCAGAAATAATCCAAAAAAAACGCGCACAGACTATTATTTGACTATCTTTGAATATTCCGCCTGTAGAGGGACATGCCCGACTTAAGCATAAAATAAAGAAGAGGGAGCCCTGACATCTGGGAGACATCACGGTCCTGGCCACGATATTGCGGGGGCAGCAGGCGACCACAACCACATCAAGGACACACACCCTGGGGGATGTCCTGCGCATGCCAACACCTATCAGAACACCAAGACCAGCTTCGTACTGGTTGTGGTCGATGTGGGCGTCCCAGACGGCCAAATCGACCACAGCTACACCCTGATTGCTCATGTCGAGGTCGGTGGATTCTCTCCCGAGGGGCCATCCCGCAGAATCCACTCAGCTGTGGTTATGGTCCATTGCTGCGCCCGGAGTCACATCTACCGCAGCCCAGTCCCCACCAGGCCTCGAGCTAAAAAGTGCCTCTCGTTTTTGTGTCGTGTTCGTTGTCCGTTGTGCTGTTTTCGTTCTGCCCTTTGCTGCGAAACATACTCAAAACGAACACGGCCTACGAAATCGCACAAACACCGTTTAGCCAGAGCCCTGAATCCCACCCACCTCTTGGACGCCGCCACCCCCTCGAGGAAGAGGACCCCTCTGGACCCCCCACTCATCTCCGAACACCACCCCCAAATGCGCCCAAGAGCGTCAAAGCACCTCCTCGATGCTCGCTCGCCAGGCCTCGAGCTAAACAGTGCTTTGCGTTGTCGTTGTGTGCCCGTGTTTCTTAGTTCTGTCTTCGCTCTGTAGTAGCTGCGAAAGGAGATCCGCCGACCCTGTCGGCGTGTGGAAGACGCTCTTCCGTTGGTCGCCGTCGTCGTCGTCGTCGTCGTCGTTGTCGTCGTGTCGTCTCCGTCGTCTCCTTGTCGTCTGCGTGGTCGTCTTCGTCTCCGTCGTCGCCTCGTCGTCTCCGTCCATCGTCGTCTCCGTCACCCGTCTTCTTTCCCTGGGCCCTCCTCCTTGGGCGCGCCAGCCAAACCGACATCCAGCAACGTCGTAGCCGAGCCGAAGGGAAGCCCCTCCCATTGATCC